GTTTCCTTTTTGCTCATTGGTGGGACGTAGCTATTGTTCTGTTGATCATGTCCATCGGGATCTGGCAACGTCTATCTTGCCATTTTACTCCTAAGAACTGGATCTCTCATGCAGGTCCCTTAACCTTACTTTGCTTTATGGCAGAGTTGACTTTCAGGACGATTTGGATGATCATCTTTTCTGAAAAACTTCATCATCTGTGTTGCCCCATACAGTGATGTCATCAATGTACTGCAGATGTTCTGGAGCTGCACCCTGTTCCAGTGCAGTCTGGATCAGTCCATGGCAGATGGTAGGACTGTGCTTCCACCCCTGGGGCAGTCGATTCCAGGTGTATTGGATGCCCCTCCAAGTGAAAGCAAACTGTGGCCTACACTCTGCTGCCAAAGGAATGGAGAAAAAGACATTAGCAATGTCTGTTGTGGCATACCGTTTGGCTGCCTTTGACTCCAGCTCATATTGGAGTTCCAGCATGTCCAGCACGGCAGCACTCAGTAGCGGCGTGACTTCATTCAGGCCACGGTAGTCCACTGTTAGTCTACACTCCCCATCAGACTTGGGCACTGGCCAGATGGGCTGTTAAAGGGTAAAGAAGTCTTCCTGATCACTCCTTGCCTCTCCAGCTGATGAATCAGCTTATGGATCGGAAGTAAGGAGTCTCGGTGCGATACTGTCGCTGGTGCACTGTTGTGGTAGCAGTTGGCACCTGTTGGTCTGCAACCTTTAGCAATCCCACAGCAGAAGGGTCCTCTGAGAGATGTGGCAAGACAGATAGCTGCTCAATTTCTTCAGTCTCTTAAAGCAGCTATACCAGAAGCCCATCAGTACCGTTTTGGGTCCTTAAAATTTCCAATGTCTTGGAAGTAACTTCCACTCAGTCTCGTTAACTCTTTTACCTCTGCTGCTGACTATATGTTACTTGAGCTAAATCTGGAGTTTCTGTAGCTTGGCAGTCTGCTTTCAAGAGGCAGCCCCTTGTTCTGGATGCCCATGAGGTGTATTGTGGTAAGCACCCATAGTAGCTGTGCACAGGACAATGTTTTGTGCAGGCTTCCAGGCTGGAGGGACTGGAGGGGCTTAAGGGGATGGAGATGCTAAAGGGGTTGGTCTTGCTCGCAGGGCTGGACATGCTGTAGAGGCTGGAGGGGCTGGCGTCAAGTGACCAGTGGCTGTCACAAGATTTTATTCAGTGAGTATGAAACACAGCATCAAAGCCAGAAGCTGTTTAAACCTTGACACTGCATACCTTCACATGGTTACCTGTAATATTGTCGTTGCTGACAATGCTTTGTTTCACTTGGGAGGATGAACTGTAGTGTTGCTCATTCACAGGAAGCAGTTGGCCTGCTATGATATCTAGCAGAGCAATTCTGTGTGGGTTTTGAGGTTACCTTATTTTTTAAAGTGACACTACAATATATTGTTTTATTTGAGAAATAATGTAGGGCTGTGACAGTGTAGAGGCATGCCTGCATACCAGCACAGCCCGTGATCAGCAGTGGCACAGGATTTGGTGATCTGTGAAGCAAAGCAGAGCCTTTCTTCTGTCTTCCCTTATGTGCCAGTCCAGCACTGGTCTGGGTCGGTGCTTGTCGGACACTCTCTGAAAGCAGCAATTCGTCTTAATGTTTCTAGCCTGAATTTTTAAGACATTTGGGCTGATCAGTTGCTAATCTTCCTGATGGGGGTGAGAATAGGCTTCTAACGGGGTGTTTAGCTGGTGCATACCAGCAGCCCCTCACGACAGGAGCTTTGCAGTACCTGTGTACGGCTCCACACACGCCTACTTATGCTGGCTGTGCCTGGAGGAGAGGTGCCAGCTCCTCTCCTGTGGCTGAGCTACTTCCAGCGGATGATGGAATCTGCTCTCAGGCTTTTAGATATGATGATCCCTGAGTGGAAAAGGGAAGGTAACCCAACCTAGCAACAGGGCAAGATGAGCTTGTGGTGCTGTCCTGAAATAACTGAGCTGATGGTGAAGAGGCAGGAGAGGAAAACTTTAGAAGTCACAGAAGGTGACCTCAGTGAAGCATCCCTCATGGAGGGGCTTAAGGCTGTGGTGGTGACAGAGGTTGGCCTAGGATAACACAGGGAACCATCATTGCAGCTCAGGCAAGCCCAGCTGAGTGTGACTATACTGGTACGTCCACCTTGGCCACAGAGGTTCGGTGTGCCTGGGTGAGTGTGAGCACCATCACCATTGTTGCTCAGCCATCCCACTCTGAAGAAGCATCCCTCATGGAGGGGCTTAAGGCTGTGGTGGTGACAGAGGTTGGCCTAGGATAACACAGGGAACCATCATTGCAGCTCAGGCAAGCCCAGCTGAGTGTGACTATACTGGTACGTCCACCTTGGCCACAGAGGTTCGGTGTGCCTGGGTGAGTGTGAGCACCATCACCATTGTTGCTCAGCCATCCCACTCTGAATTTTTTTCTGTATGGCACTTCTGATGGGGAGCGTGAAGGAACAGGGAGGTGTTTTGTCAGCCTCTCTTGTTGGGACAGTGTGGCCAGCTGGAGTCTGGCTCTGGCTGGAAATGCAGGCTCACTGTTGCATGGCTGCTGCCTGCAAAGTGACAGTAATGTGATATGACAGCCCTGGCCTCTGACCTCCTGCAGTTCAGATTGAAGGCTGATGGGAGCTGAAAGGAAGCTAGAAGGGAAGATGCATGGTTTAGGATCTAGCTAGGTGACAGCTAGAGAGACCGTAGGTACAGGGTACTCAGCCTGCTTTGAAATGGACTTGGCAAGCTCTGGATGGAGTGATTTTTGTGGAAAACGGGATGGAGAAAGCTCTTGTATTACATACAGGACAGCAACTGAAACTATCATGGGCAGAAAAAGTAGCAGAGCCAATGTGGGTTTGTAGGAATGATGTTTTATCAGCTGAAGGCTTTGTCTGCATTGCTCTAGCATGGTTGGCTTACACTGTATCAGCACTTTGCAGCATGTTGCTGTGTCCTTTTAGATCCTCTGAATAGCCCAAACGCCGATTCACTGCGTGTAAGCACTTACCTTTAGGTCTGCCCATGCAGCTGTGCTAACCCTGCCCACAGCTTTGTTTTTGGGTTTTCTGTGAACATAACTGATCAGAAACAGCCCAAACCCCTTACAGTTACGTTTGTGAGTCTTCCATCCCCAATTTCTGTTTGTTCCTTGATTAATACACAAGTACTCTTAGGGTTCAGCAAACCTGCAGGTGCAGTAAGAGGGACTGCTTTTAGTGTGCCTGCCCTTTTTTTTAGCAGAAATTTTAGACCAGCATTATGTACAGTCAGTGAGCTCTGACTCTTGCTTCCCCTGAAGGGCTTAACTGCTTCCAGAGTTATTCTGCAGCACATTCTGCAGTAGCTGTCACACTCTTCTTTCACTGTGCTTCTATCAGGCTACATTTTCTGCTGAAAAGGTCTCTGGGATAGATGGAAGGTCTGTGCACTGAAAAAATAATCCTGTAAGAGACTAACATTGCCAAGATTTCCTGAGGAGTTATGCCGATAGTGCCTTCAATGCTGTTTGCTGCTCATGGTATTTCTTGTGTTCAGGGTGTACTCAGGATATTCATGTCAGCATTTTTACCACAGTTTGTTAGGGATTTAGAAGAACTCCCTGTATGACGTTTTCTAAATCAAGAAGATTTTCCTCCTGAAATGTTTATTTTCCTCTGAGCTGATACTCTGGAGGAGCTTTCTGGGAATACTTAACTGCTGTTTCCATGCAACAACCAATTTTTCTTCATTGACATGCATTCACTGTGGATTTTCTGATTGGAAGCATGTGTATATAAACTTTCATTTGCATATTTCTCATAAACAGCTGAATTTCATTTACCTTATAGCCCTCTTTTGCCTTTTTTTGTCCTACAGATAAACTGTGTGACTTTCCCACACCCTGATGTAATGCCAGAGCAGCAGTTGCTGAAACCTTCGGAGTGGAGCTACTGTGATTATTTCTGGGTAAGTAGGCAGCCAGCCACATGCCATATTGCAGCTCCTGAGCTTCTGAAAAAGTGGAACTGCTAGCTTGTTTGTGGCACAAGGTAAAGGAGAATTTGGGCTGAAATTTAGTGTATTAGGGCAGCACCAGGGAGACTGAGGATGCCTGTGAAGATCAGGTGGAAATAGTGTAACTCATCTCAGATGTGGATGATTATCAGAAGAGTGTCCAGGTAGGCAAGGTCAGCTGTCAGGAGATGGTTTTGGTCAGGAAATGCAGGAGATGTAGGACAAACTGCAGATCTCAAAATACCTCAGCCGAAAGGACTGTGCAGAGGAAGGAGGGATAACGAGGTGGCTGACAGGGAATATTATTTCACTGTTTCCCAAAGCATGAGAGCTAGGGATGCACAAGAAAGCCAGGAATATTACATATAGGATAAGCAGATAGTTACAAACTTTTTGTTAAATTGTAAGACTCACTCCCATAGGATATTCTGGAGGACAGATGATAAATGAATTTTTTAAAAGGTGAGGTTTGTAATGGACAGGACCATTAGTAGCTCTTAAATTGAGTAGTTTTAATGCAGCCTTCAGCATGGAAAGTCTCCAGTAGTTTGGGGTTTTTTTTCTGTGTGTACCCTCTCATGCTTGGCTCCACTTTCAGGATCCTGAATCAGATTAGAATGATAAGTAGTCCTTCAAGTGGGGAGCTGATAGAAAAAATCTTCTACCATCTGGGGGATGGGGGGAATGCTACTTCAACACTGAAGATTCTATGAATTTCACATGTGTTTTCAGTTATAAATTATTGAAGGGTTTCCATTAAAAAAAAAGTTTCACTTACAAAAAAAATGCAGCTGTTGGAGAAACAGCAGTACTTCTACTCATGTGTGCTCAGCACTGGTGTGATTATTGCAAATGGTCACATTACCAAGCCACCAGCGTTTCTTCTCTGATCACAATGAGCAATAAATCAGAAATGATGTAGAGGCTTATTTTTTGCATGTGTCTTACAGAAGTCACTGCCCTGCTTGGTTCTTTCCATTTAAGCTTGATCATTGCTTGGCTCCTTGGGTTTGCTCACATCTTGTTCTCAGTGAAACTCCACCTAAAGTTGCCTTTTTAATGCAAACTTTTATCCTCCCATAGCTCTGCTCCCAGGACATTCCTCTTGTTCAGCCTTGTAATCCATGATCTGCCACTCATCTCCTTCTCCGATCAGCTCCACTCTTCCTTTTGTCTCAGACTGGTAACACCCAGCTGCCTGGTGCCTGGCACAGTGTCCTACAAGTCTCCTGCTTTGATTTAGGTGGCTTTTTTCTCTGTGCAAATGTGCAGCACTTAGGGTATTTGAGCAAAACCTGTAGTCCCTATTGAAGTCATCTCTGGGCCTGTTTGTTGAAACATCGTGGGAAATTCAGTTCTGAAGTAAGGGAAAGCTGAGAGAGGAGAGAGAGAAAATAGGCAGCAGAGATAAGACTCTTTGGTCTTGTAGCAACCCTGAAGTCAGTGGAGCAAGGGCTGAAAAGAACTGTGTAGGAAACAAACAGTGAAAGATGGGATGTATGGCAGTCATCTATTGAACAAATAGCTATTTTACCCTGCTTTAAGCAGATCTGTGCAGTATTTTTTTATCCTCCCATAGCTCCTCTTGTTCTGTATATTTTTGAGTACAAATCCGGGTTGAACTTTACAGTCTATTAAAGGTTGTTTAGGGCTGTGTTACCCCTGGAAAGAGCAGCTGTGCCCTCCCCTCTCCCTCAGCAGTCCCCTTCTCTTTAAAGGGCTGAGCCATCAAGGCTCAACGCTTGCTGGAGCCAGCCCAGGGATGTTATCAGGTGTGAAAGGCCATGGGCAGAAGAGAAAGCAGGATGGCTGCTTTGCCCCCACATAGCCTTATGCTAACTGTAAAACTTTTTTTTTTTTTTTTTTAATAGGAGTAAGAGGAGGGGGAAGGAGCAAGTGTTGGAATATTCCTCTGAGAGGGGCTAAGGTGCTGTGACCATCAGGTGTTATCAGAAGAGGGACACTCTTGGGACACCATTGGTGTCTGTTGCTTGGACTGCTTGGGCAGTTGGCACTGGGAACTGTTTATCTGTGGTTTTGATCCCCATATCTTTTTCTTGAACTTCCTTTTTCCTTCCAGGCTGATAAGAAGGATTCTCAAGGGAACAATACAGTGTCGGGATTTGAAATTCTTCTTCAAAAGCAACTTAAAGGGAAACAAATGCAGAAAGAAATGGCAGAGTTCATTCGAGAAAGGTAATTAGCACTTGGCTATCAAATTAACTATCTATGGCAGGGCAGGTTTCCCCCTACCACCCGTCTTAGATATTCCTTCAGTACCTTAATGACGTAGCATACACAGCATAAAAAATATGCTACCAATTCTTAAAGAACATTTAATATTTCTTTAATGTCCATGCACATTATCTAGACTTCCCCAGGTCTCACTTGTTTCTCCTGCTGTGCTTTTCTCAGTTAATTTGCATACAGGCTGTCCGTTTAGGTAGAGGGAACCAAGAAAGTTTTAAGCAGCAGATGCAAGGGAAAAACATGGACATGGAAAAAACAGAGTAGACAGAAAGGAAATATTTTGTCTGAAAAATAGAGAAGCAATTTTTTGACATGGACCATAGGCACAATTACCTAGGGGAAGATGTAAAAAGACATCACTTGGGACTGATTACAGAGCTAAATTACACATACAGACATACAGAGTGAACCTCAAGTCATAAAGGCAGATGTTGCTCCTAGAGGATGCCAGAATGCTGTTAATGGTCTATTGCTCTGCTGACATGAGAGGTGCACTGAGCACCAAAGAAGCAGTTGATAGATGTTCAGTTCTACCATGTATTCCTGGGTAGTGTCACTGTTATTTGAAATCACTTGTCGTGTCTAAACCAGTGTAAATCATCTTGAGGATGACCCTCAAAACTTGAGAGCAGGTGATAGGGAACAAGCAGTGTTTACTCCTAGGAGGAAGGCAGAGCATGCTGATGGATGTTCTCTTCTGGAGGTAATTGCACTAGTTGAAGGAGCTGCTGTTCTCTGTTCTGCTGAGTTGGTATTGCCTTCCTACTCTGCTGCTGCAGACATAGTGTGACTGTGCTGATGTAAATCAGTAGTGGTGGAAGCAATGAATGGGGCAACAAACAAGCACCTGTGCTGGTGTTTGGGGAGCAGTTCAGTTGGGCAGAGCTTGCAGATAGTTGCTTTCATCTGTGGTTTGTTTTCTTTCTCCCTCTCATCTTTTTTTTTTTTTTTTTAGTATGGCAGTAGTGGAGAAATGCAAAGTATAGCATAGACAGTAGAGACAGTCTGATAAAGGAGATGCAGAGTGCTGAGCATGCACATGTGGTTCCTAATGCCTGGAAGAAAGGACCAGCTGGCAAAGGAAGAATACAGTTGAGAAATAGTCTTGCTAAGCTAGAAGATGAGGAGGAGGCACACAGAATTGTCATAGCTGTGGCCAAGTAAAGAGGAGGAAAGCTGCTCCAAAGAAAGTAATATCTAATGTAATTTGACAGAACCAGAAAAAGCAGCATTCAAGAGGGAGAGGCAGTTGGTATGAAATGAGAGAGCAAGGAGGGAGCAGATCTGACACTGAGAAGAGGCATGTTCATGTCCTCAGCTGAGGAAAAAGTAGGCATGTTATAGAATAAAAGACAGAAAAGATTCACTGTGCTGGAAATAAAGAGGGTTTGGAATTGAGTGAGAAGAGGATCTAGATCGGAGTTATAGAAGGATTAATATATTTTTCTTCTGTTTGGAACAAATGATTCAGGATTGCTCTGTGTGGAAACTGAGGAGGACGCATGGGGTTGAGCTGGAGAGGTTACTCACAGAAATGTAGGCTCAGGCCATCGGGGAAACCTTTACATTCCCAGCAAAGAGAGAAAAAGTATTGATAAGAATTTCTTGGTGACCATCAGGTGGCTAAGGGAATACAAGACCATGTTTAACTAGGGGTTTTCATGTCAAGAAAAAATTATCTCCAGCTTCTGGAGGTGAAGTGCAGGCAGCTAATAAAAATAGTTTTAAATAGGAAAGTTGGATGAGACATGATAATTGGATTTCTTGAACAAATGATGAAGAACTAACTGGAATCTATTTTATCAGGTAGAGGCTTTTAGAGGACCTACTTGTAAATAGCAATCTTACACTGAGCAATTATGTGTTCATTTTTAATTAAGCTGGGCTGTGCTTAGAAAATTTAAAATAAATAGCAGATTATTTAGCTACATGAAAAGAAACACAAGCAGGAGTATGGTTACGAAGGTCTGTCTAGCCCACTGACTTTAATCTGACCATGGCAGTACTAAGTGTGTAAGAGGAAAGGAGCATAGGAGTCTCTGTCGTCCCTGCTTCCAATAACCAGAAGTTTGGGGATTTCCAGAGCCAGAGTTTGCCTTAGGTCTGCCATGTTCAGCAGATACTTGTAAACATCTTCCACTAATCTAATCCTTATGAATGTTTTTATGTTTTCGATACTGCAATGATTTGTAGCAGGCCTGTGTAATTTATGCACTACAGGAAAAGTAATGGTGCTTCTGTTGTCTGATAATTTCATTGTTGCCACCTAATCTGGAGAAATAGTGTAAAAAGACTTCTAGTCACTACCTTCACGCAGTGACAGTAGTGTAGATGCCTGTCGGATATCCTCTATCACCTTCTCTGTGTTCCCTGTGTTGTCTTAATCTATTAAGTTTCTTCTTGCATGGTAGTCACATCAGATCATCTTTGCCTTCCTTTGTAGCTCTCTAGCTTTTCTTCATCCATTGTAACATGGCATGACTGAAGCTGAGTTTGGGCACATGAAGTACTTCATTAAAAAAAAAAAAAAAGGCATAAGAGAGCAGGGAATAAACATCCAAAGAGCAACTAGAACTAGTAAAGTCAAGACACTATGGGTCAAAATGCACCTACAGTATGTAATGCTTCTGACTACACAGGGAGTGAAATTCTGAAAGTTTTTGAACAAATTAGTAGAAACATAAAACAGGACCTTTTTGGGGTGAAGCTGGAGTAACTGCAAAACAGCCATGGGGATTTCTGGAGGTAGGCTCACAAGGCTCAGGAGTCCCTGTGTACTGGTGTGTTGATGTTTCACAGTCAGCACAATCCAGAATTTGCAGGGTGTTTATATTGACCAGGGACAGGAAGCAGGTTTTTTTTTCCCATTTTTGAGGAAACATAAAACAGGACCTTTTTGGGGTGAAGCTGGAGTAACTGCAAAACAGCCATGGGGATTTCTGGAGGTAGGCTCACAAGGCTCAGGAGTCCCTGTGTACTGGTGTGTTGATGTTTCACAGTCAGCACAATCCAGAATTTGCAGGGTGTTTATATTGACCAGGGACAGGAAGCAGGTTTTTTTTTCCCATTTTTGAGGCTGAAGGAGCTGGGGTTCTTTAGCCTGAAGAAGAGGAGGCTGAGGGGGCACCTGATCGCTCTCTACAGCTCCCTGAAATGAGGTTGTAGGGAGCTGGGTGCTGGTCTGTTCTCCCGGGTAACTGGTGACAGGACAAGAGGAGATGGCCTCAAGTGGCATCAGGGGAGGTTTAGATTAGATATTAGGAAAAACTTCTTCCCTCAAGTCACGTCAGGGGAGGTTTAGATTAGATATTAGGAAAGATTTCTTCACTGAAAGAGTGGCCAGGCACTGGAAGAGGCTGCCCAGGGAAGTGGTGGAGTCAGCATCCCTGGAGGTGTTCAAGGAATGTGTAGACGTGGCACTGAGGACATGGTCTAGTGGGTACGGTAGTGTTGGGTTGATGGTTGGCTGGATGATCTTACAGGTCTTTTCCAACCTTAGTGATCCTGTGAGTCTGTGTATCTTTATCTTGTTTTTTTTGCTTCTTTTGAGGTATTTGAGATGTTTTGGCCACAGATGATGACAGGACACCAGGATGGGATAGAACAATTTATGTCTTATAACTGGGACTCTTAAGCAATAACCAATTCACCTTTTTGTTGTTATTCCTTCTTGCCAAGGCAGTCTGCCTTATTAGTAGTGCCATCCACCTGCAGTACAAGTAACACTTAAAACCCCAGAGCCTGAGCTAAAGCTGGGACCACTGAGGACCTCTTCCATCTAAGACTGTGGCTTTGCATTTAGGATGCCATGTTTAGGACAGGCACTGAGGGCAGCAGACATATTGTATGTTATGTGTGATTGTGAAGATCATGAGGCTTCCTTTTGTCTTTTGTTCAATACTTCCCCAGCTACAGCAGTATCAAGGAAGAACTTCACAGGGTTTTCTATTCATTATTTTCACAGCAAACCTTCATGATGGATGATGGTTATTCCTCTGTTCGTGAGTCAAAGGACTGAAACACAGATTCTGTGCAAGTCTGTACGGGCAGCTAAGAACAGTCAGCAGACGAGCTAGCACCTTTGCACACCTGCCATCCGCAAGTAAATCACTCAAAGGCATCCTTAAGCCAAAATGTAGCAGGAATAAAGTTGCATGGTGAAGGATGTAGACTAGAGCTTTTGTTGGGAACTCCTGGTAACTGAGGTGAAAGCAGTGAGCCCTGGCTTTGAGCTGTACACTTAGGTATTCATCTCAGCTACATTTAGACATTTGCATCTTCATTATAGTTGACCTATACACCTTCTCCAGTCCATAGAAATTGTCACTTCTGAGGCAAGATTAGTCTCATCCTGAAGTAGGTATTTAAATTAGGCCAGGTGAAATGTGTGTGGATAAAGCCCTTTTCATTGTGAGGTCCTAACCACAGTGTAGCCTTTGGTGTTGGACAACTGTAGTTGTTGGTCTTGCTATAACAGGTGTGAGGAGATGGCTGGTTTTGTTCTCATGAGAGGGGGAAGAAGATGACCCTCACATGCTGGGTGAGGTCTGTAGTTGTTCTGTGGTGTACTGGGTATCACCTTGGGCCAGCTGCATCCCACAGAGTGACATCCAGATCATATTTTCAGCAACCTAGAACATCAGACCCCTTTCATCTGGTTTGTGGGACCTCTTTTGTCTCAAGTGTGCCACTTGTAGCAGTGTTGCTCAACTAGCTACTGCAAATGGGCATGCCAAGAATATCTCACCTTCTGTCTCCTCATTGGAAGGATATGGCTTTTAAACCAGGTGTTTTCCCTGCCTGGGCCTAGTTCTGGGTGCCACTCAGCTCATTTGTAGCTCTTCTGTTGAACAAGATTGTTTGAAAACCATTTTTTTGCCAGAGTTGAGATCATACACACTTGGCAAATATTTCACTAGGAGAAGAACTCCAGGGAGCTGGAGATTGGTTTCAGGCATGATGCATGTCACCTCTGAACCAGCAGCTGCTGTTTCCTCACTCAACAGCTACACTTATTCTTCTGTCTGCAGCCATTCCCATAGTGGTTGTGTGCCGACAGCTTCCTTCTTCTGCACCCCCACTGCTGGCAAGCTGGTCCTGTTCGTGGTGTGGTGCTGCTGGATGAATGGAGAGGACAGGGCAGTGGGTGGGATGGGTGAAGGACAGGGCCTGCACCACCATGTGTCAGTGACACAAGCCCCTGCCAACATCTTCACCATCTCTGTTGTCTGTAACGGAGCAGGAAGCATTCAGTGTCCCTAGGAAAGGTGCAGTTCAGCACCCCAAACCTCAGTGGGATTTCTCCTGTATCACTGCATTCCTTCATCTTCATTTCAAGGGTGTGCAATCTCACATTTAGCAGCAGACTGAAACACATGCTTCTCAAGTGAGCCCAGTTTTGCAGACAGTCCATGTTGCACAGGAGAAACACTTTGTCCTTGTTATTTGCTCTCCAGAACTGTAGCTTTTTCTTCTAATTTTATCGCACATGCTGTCCTGCATGTATCCCTGCTCATGTCATTGCATTTTTAGCATATGGAGAGGAGAAACGGATCCTGAAACTGGTGCTTCCAAGCTCTGGAGACTGAAAGGAAAATTCATGTGGCAAGATCTGTTAAAATACAAAGAGTTTCTTTAAATTATGCGTGTGGGCTTCTGCCTTAAAGCTTACTTACTGCTGTCTTTTTATTTTCTCTGTGTGTGCGTGAGTGTAGGATAAAGATTGAGGAGGAATATGCTAAGAACCTGTCCAAACTGTCTCAGAATTCCCTGGCTGCTCAGGAAGAAGGGTAAGTGTGTCTCTGGCTTTTGCAGAAGACAAAAATTTTAACATAAAAGGCATTCCTCCCACACAGGTATGTGTATTTTTCCTGAGCTCTCCCATTGAGTAGAGGTTTATTTAGCCTGGCATCCTGGGTGTGTTAAGGAAGATAGTATTGCTTTGGAATATTTTTCTTTTGAAGATGTTCACGGTAAATTTTTAGGAATATCTGTATAAAACCTTGCATTTCCAATGATGTGTTTATGCTCTTCTAGTTCTAGCCAGCACTAGTTCCTTTAGGGTTTAGCATGTATACGTACTAAATTACTCTGAATATGGAAGAATATATGGAATATATATACTGCTGATAGTAAATCCATAAAGTCAGGCCAGTAGAATTGGAGCAGCACAGAGGAAGAAGTCTCTTCTCATCTTGGGTCTGGCCCTCCAAGAATAGCAGCAGGTTATCTATTATATACAGCATGTTCACACTTTCAAAGTTATTAAGAAGGTATTAGGCAATGCACTTCAGACTAGATTGTACTCATCAGTAATAATAAAAAAATTCTACTCCTGAAGGTGTAGAAGTTAGCTCTGTCTGTTCCAACACAGACCCTCTAAGCATTGAAATCACAGGTTGGAAATGACTGTCCTCACCCTAGTCACACCCTGGACACAGCGTGTTTCTACTGTCAGCGAAGCTTCATGAGGTGTTTGCTCATCTCCCAGTATGCAAGGACAGAAATTGCGAGAGGCTAACTAGGCTGATACTTCTCTAGGCACCCACATTGACGATGGTTTCTGATTTTCTTTCCCCTTTAGGGGTGGGTGTTAACCTGCTCCTAGTAAAGCTAAAACAGCTTTCTTACACATCCTTTTCCCACTTTCCCCTACCCCCAGTAAGAGAAAGGGGGAATGCCTAAAAAAATGAAGGGGAAGGAAACTAGGGTAGGCTAGATGAAAAGAGAGGGAATGAGGACCAAAGCATAAAATGTTGAAGTAGCGAAATGAAGGGAACATGGAGCAGAGTGCAGGGATCTGGGAATGCTGCCTGGTGGTGCTGGACCTGGAGAGGTGGCAGGATAAGGAAGTGGAAGGTGCTGTGGTGGCCAAATTGGCTAGGACCAGGAAGAAGCTAGTGAGAAGATCCTAGTTATGGGTGAGGCCCAGGAAAGGGAAAAATTCAATTTAAAAAAGTGAGGGAGGAAGAGCAGCCAACAGGAGGATTTCAAAAAGCCAAAAGTGCAACTGCAGCCTAACACACTCTTAAGTTAAATATTCGCCAGCATCTTCCACTCATTTCTGAGAAGGTGTGAATTGGGGGACCCCATGAACTGCTCTGTGAACACATCAATTATCCTTCTGGTTTCATACTCCACAGAGCTTTTTCCCGCTTTGCTGTCCAGCAGTACATGGAATTGATGAAAAGTATAGGCAATTCCTCCAGGGTCCTCTGCCTTCCACTGGTGGTAAGAAGACCCACCATCATGTATGTGAATCAGACATGAGAGTGACAAGATGGGACCGATTTGTGGTATCTGGATGGTTCTGCCCAAGTTTCTGTGTGTACTGTGCTGCTGCATGTAAACAGAGGTGATACAAGCCATGATCATTTAAGTCATTGTGGTTGGATAAGAGATGCAGAAGATGCTTAGCAGGCCAAAATGCCTTTTTTATTTAAATATATCAGATAAAATAATTAGTACCAGTGAGAACTGGACAGTGGGAGGGGATCTCACGGGGGGGACTAGGGAAGGAGAGGAGTTGAGAGCACTTAAGTGAAACAATCGCAGCTCGTTTAGCTGTGGTGAACACCATATTTGAGGACTAAACTCCTTAGAGCAACATCAGAGATTATAGATCATTGTTTTGAAAGTGCAATTTCAGGCAATTTTTCAGGCTACCAGGAAGGGACAAATACGTCTGTCTTTGAAAAGGGGGTGTGGGAGAGAGAGATGGGGACAGGATTGTAGATCAGGTAGCTTTATATAACCTGTGCAAAGTGGTAGAATAAACCATCAAGCTTCTTAGAAGCACTCACTGGAAAACTAAGGTGATGAGCAATTATTGTGGATGTATACAGAATAAAAAATGTCAAACCAACCTAAATTCCTCCAGTGATGGAATACAGTAGTAAATCAACATCATAGCTCTTAATTTAGTAAAGCTTTTTTCAATGGAAGATGCTTTTAAGTAGGCAAGAGAAATGTGGCATAAATAAAGCCTAAGGTGCAAAACTAGGTAAGAAATCATATCTGCTACTTAAAAAAGTTAACTTCAAAGTAAGATCTCATAAGGTTTGTTCTAAGTCCAGATTTTTTCAATGTTTTTGTTAATGATATGTGATAAAATAAATAATGGGGTTACGATAGTCAGAGATGAGACAAAGCTAAGAGGGAAGGTGTGTACAGTTTGAAGACAAGATTGCAATTCAGAATTATTTTGTTAAACTAGAGAAGTTAACTATAAAAAATTAAGATGCATTTCAATGAGGACAAAGTGCCACGTTTTATACTTTCACAGGATACAGTTACATAATGGTTTGTGGGAGAAGGATCAGGCTATAGTGAATCATAAGCTTATTCATCAACAACTTCACACGGTTGTCTAAAAAAGCAATCATACTGACATATGTAGAAGAAAGTGTTTGATATGAAATAAACTGTTAGCAGTTTAGCAACTGGAAAGCCTCTGCTGGAATCATAGAATGGTTTGGATTGGAAGGGACCTTTAAAGATCATTTAGTCCAGTGCTGAGAAGATGATGTAGTTTTGGTTATGATTCATTAAGAGGAATCGAGGCTGTTGGAGAGAGTCTAGAGAATCATACTTAAACTGCCGTCTTCTAGAAAATAGTTTGTCTGAAGGAAAAAGAAGGTGGAGAAAAGACATGGTATTTTAGAAATACTGAAAGGCTTCTCTGAGAAGTAGAATAATCTGCTCGCCAAAGGTAGGGTGTAAAGTGGAAGAGGCAGTGGGAAAACTGCACTGGTGAAGGTTTATTTTAAAGATTAGAAAAGAAAAAACTTCATTATGGTAAGGATAAGGAACTGAGGTATCTTGCTTATGGAGACTCTGGCATCTGTGTAACTTAAGATCATTATGAACAGTGTTTTCAAAGATCTGCTATGTGAAATGAAAATACAATTTTGCCTTGGTCACAGAGCTTGGTTATCTTCTCAGATTTCTGCTATCACTTTTGCTGAGGATAATGTGGTACAAAGCTTTGTGCCTTATCTATCTGACAAATCTCTCTGGGAGGGTGTGCACAAGACAGATCACTGTTGCTCTGTGTTCTTTCAGCACCCTAGGGGAGGCTTGGGCTCAGCTAAAGAAGAGTCTAGCTGATGAAGCAGAGGTTCATCTCAAATTTTCTTCTAAGGTAAATAGTTCTTCCTTTTGCAAAAGTTTTTGCCCTGTAATTGATGTGGATCTCCCTTCAGTGTTTGTTAGTGGGGAAAATTCAGATGCATATGGTACAAATTTAGAAGAATCAGTAAGTTAGAGAACAAAACTATTGAAAGTCTGTCCTTTCTTCCTGTCAAAGGATTTTGTTCAGTTTATTTAGTCTACCTGATGAGTAAGTTAAAACACATCTAGTCTTAATTTTTCATAAAAAAGAAGGAAGAATGGTTCTGGTTTTTATTAATTTAGGGCTCTATGTTCCAGCGTGTTCTAGTAAATTTATCTAGAGCTTTTACAGATTAATTCTGTAGAGGGAGAAATAAAAAATAATGTTTGGCTTTTCAAAAAGAATCTAGTGTATTTGTCTGGAAGGAAGAGAACCAGGACTCTGACTTCTTCATGTCATTGGCCTTTCTGAAAAGTGCACTAGGAACTTAATTCATGTTATTCTTCGATCTTCTCTCAAGTGATATCCAAGGAGATTTCTTGTATAAATTACAGTATTTATCTGGTTTTTTCCATCACATGTGCCACGCTCTTGCATGCTGTAACATTATGTTAACCTCTGTGGGTGATCAAGTTCAGTACAGTGGCAGATATCTCAGCACAACAGCCATATTCTGGAGGAAAACTATAACTCTGCACTGGTTGTAAGAGATTATGCAGAGGTTACTCAGGCAACCAGCCGCTGCCTTGGTAACCTGCTGCTCTGCTTCAAACTTCTACATCAGAGCTGTAATTAGTGAAATACTTTCTGTTCCCTCTTGTCACAGATTGACACAGATTCACAGGGTGGAAGGAGTTGGAAAGGATGTCTAGAGATCATCTAGTCCAAGCCCCCTGCCAGAGCAGGATCCCCTAGAGTAGATCACACAGGAACAAGTCCAGACAGCTTTGGAAAGTCTCCAGAGCAGGCGACTCCACCACCTCTGGGCAGCCTGTTCCAGTGCTCTGACACCCTCACAGGGAAGAAGGGTTTCCTCATGTTCAGGCTGAACCTTCTGTTTACCAGTTCATGGCCG